TTCCTTTGGTACGGACAATGTCATAATACCTGAAGGTCCATTAAACTTTAAGGATGTTGTTCCATTTGGTAGGAACGTAATCTGCGCTTGTAATTTGGATAGCATATCACGTCCCAGCAATTGGACTGGACACTCAGGCATATAAAGGAATTGATGTTTTACTACGTGGCCTCCCAATGTACAGAGTCGACTTTTAAGAACCGGTTTTTCAGCACTTCTTCCAGTTGCTCCTATTACAGTAATAGTTCTTCCAGATGGAGGAGCAACTAGATTAGTCACCACCGAATGTTCAGCACCAGTGTCGATCATGAACGCACTCCTTTTTCCCCTATTGATACATCGACCATAGGCTCCGCTCGACCAAGGGGGATGGAGCCCGGTCGGTATCAATAGTCCTCCATGACCGTGTCAGCCAATCCCACAAAGTCCCTACCTTCTCTATCGCGGGACCTTTGCTGCTGGATAGTACCTATCTTCCCTTACACTTCCTCTGTTCCCATTACTCCCTCTATTACCATTACTCCCTCCGGGGCCTCCTCTACCTCTCGCTCTGCCTCTAAAGTTTCCGTAACCTGCCCTGGGTAAGTCTCTCTCATACTGCTCTCTTTGCGGACACTCGTTCCTCCAATGCCCTTCTTCCTTACAGTACGCGCACTGATTCCTACTCAAAGGCTCCCTATTCCATCTACCATCGCCTCTATCTGGGCCCCGTCTATCTACGCCTGCGATCGCTACCGCTAGCATATCTGCCTTTCTACGCATCTTGCGCTCTTCCTCTTTCTTACTTTCTGTTTCCCTATTCATATATACTTTGTTCGCTACCTCCATTAGTTGGGTGATAGACATACCTGCAAACCCTTCTAATTTCTGTAGCTTGCGCTTAATATCTCCGTAAGCTTGGCTGACAAAGGCGGAGTTTACCATTCGGGAATTATCAGCGTCTTCCGGATTAAAGGGGGTATACAAGCGGTATGCCTCCAATAATCGGTCATAAAAGACACTGGGCGCTTCATCACTTTTCTGAATCACCTCAACTGTCTTCGACATGTTAATAGCTTTCTTCCCTCCGGCTTTCATGCCAGCAATTATAGCGTCTCTATAGGCTTTAAGTTGAGCCATATCTGCGCCATTTACATTCCAGTCGGGATCGGTGTTAGGGTAATGTGTTGCGGCCCATGCTGCCGGATTGGCTTGATTTAAAGCACGGGCTCTCTCCTCTAGCGCCTTAATGGCCGCTTGGTTAATCCTTGTCCTTTCCTCATTATTGAACAATGTCATTAATAACTGCTGGCAATCAGCCCATGTCGGGTTATGTGTCTGAACTATCGAGGTGAACAGATCGGTCATAGCTTGTGGTTTCTCAGTGTACGAGGAATTGTGGGTCTTCCAATTCAAGAGATCGGTAGTCGTGAACGGGACATATACGAAGACTGGGTCAGCATGTGCCATTTGACCTGCGGCATCGATATAGGCTGACCCAGGATTCAGACGAAGAGGCATCTGATAATGTTTTAATTGTTGGGTACCGGTCAGTTGTCGGGTTAGTATGGGGCTACGTGGAGGGGCGTCAGTTAAAGGTTCCGGTCGAGAGGTAATAGGGCATGAGGATGTGGGAACTTGATTTTGGGAAAAGTTAGTGAATAGTATACTCCGAGCCGAGCTAGAAGAAGCTTGACCGGAAGTTTGAAGTGGCGCCAAATCAGGATATTCAGATCTAATGGGGGTTGGTCCTGGTTCCGGAAGGGGAGTTTTAATACGAGGGGGGGTGGATTCTGTACTGGAGGAGGAAGCGGAAGTGGATGGGGGCAATAGGGGAAGGGGTGCAGAACTTCCTGCATTCGCGTCACTTCCTCTTAAAGGAAAGTAAGGGGGCGGCAAAGGGATCTCGGACTCAGGGGGCGTGTCCAAAATGGGCCTAACACCAGTCCTAGTGGACAAACAAGTCCTGGCCACCATGAGGCGACATTGCTCCTCGTGGCATATCCGGATCCATTTTGGCGAGTCGTTTACGGCCTGCCTCCAACAATCAATGTATGGAAACTGTCCGTAAAGTTCAGGCCTACCTGATACAGCCACGTGTACACGCTGTACCAGGGTTGGATCCAAACTGCCACGCGGCGGCCATGCCGCAACCAAAGTAGGCCACTCCCTAGTGCACAAAGTGACCAAACGTACAGGAGACATTTTAACCCCAAAATCACATGTTTTGAATCCCTTTTTAAAATTCTTTACCATACAACCTAAGGGATCCGAAATCGTTGACTCTGACGCGCCCATACTTATCAATGGAACGTCGTTGACAACGAATACTATGCACGCGTTCTTATTCAACAGTCACACCCGTTTCCTCTGGCAACAGCACCACGTGGTACAGTTACCAAGTGAAACGTACACAATAACACAATAATCACTCAGGGAATTCCCGTACACACACAGCTGTTACACCAGTCACTAAATAATCAATATTATGCCCTTTGGCGAAACTATACAGTCACCCACGCTATAATTCTCTATATATGAATTACCCGTCTATAACACACCCCAGTAACATCGTCTTTTACTAGTATCGGTTACAGTACGGTTAGCATAGGTCAAAGCACAATTTAAGGTCACAATACAATTATTAGTGGTTACGGTGTTAAACATGCAATAGACGACAATGATTAGTACTTATATACAGTGTCAGTAAATATACAGGGTTATGGTACCGTGCACTATGATACAGCAACACACTATTAACACTCTCGCTAGACGGCTGAGCTCGCGCTATCTAACAAGATATACACTTTACTAACAATCTTTAACACATTTACAATCCCAACTAAACTATTGGCCAGTACCTTGAATGGACTACCTAAAACTATATACACCCGTTTTGGTTAGTCACACTGCCCAAGCACCACATATAGCGAACTAGAGGGCGGAATTTACAAAATTGCCCTTCTAGTCTATTTACTCTATCAAAAGTCTAGTGGGTTCCAAATTTACACGCCTTCCCACTTAGCCAAGATAGGTTGAGAGCTAGCGAACCGAATTTACACAGGCGCCGCTTAGTCTCCCGGTCCCTCCGACCTAGCGAACGTAATATACACCCTAGAACGCTAGTCTAGACAAGACACCGGTGTCCGGCTAGGGCTATTTACACAGGACCCCGCCTGACTAACCAGATCAAAGCGGTCTTACTAAAGAGCGTTCGATCGAGCGGTGCGCCTTCGCTCCTTCCCTCCGACAGAGGGGGCAGATTCCATACACAGATTTAAACCCCTTTTGGGCCTACCGCACAATCGGTATACCCCTAGTGGGTCTGCCGTCTAAAACAGCAGTTGTCTTACCTCCTCGTTCCTGAACCTGAGTTCACACTCATCGACGGGGACACCCCAGCACTTCTTACGTAGAGGCCGATGATCTCCTGGACAACAGACCAGTGGCGCCGAGACGAAGGGAGGTCCACGCAGAAGTTCAGGGGTGCAGCCGTAGAGAACGTGGGCAAAGATAGACCGTCTCACGCCTCTGCCTCTCAGCTACCGTTGAACGATGAGCTTCCCGGCCAATGCACCAAATGATACCGGAGAAACTGACGGAAGCAAAGCACAGAGAGATGGACACAGGTTTCTTCAGGAAGGAAGAGATTCTTTATTGGATCACCGATCGGGACTCAGAGGGACTAATGTCACCAAAAATACAGCAAGTTCTGAGCACCGAACAATAGTGCAGGCTCCTTATATAGGCACATAACTCCTCCCATATTAAGCTCCACCCGCACATTCTCTTGACCAATCATTACAAATAAGAATTAACTTCCTGCTTGACCGCATGGCTTGTCCTGCACAATGGAGGAGGGGAATACTACATCCTATATTCTTGCACATGCTCCGTACACTACTGATCGTATCTTGCCTCGTGCAACCAACTGATCGATACGTCAGCATATGCACGTACACATGCCACGTGGTAATCTCGGCCTACTAAATTTATTTTTACCGAGATTCCACCACACTTTCTCTCCCCTCCCTTGTTCCATAGTGTTCTTTCTCCCCCCTCCCCTGTCCCATAGTGTTCTTTCTCCCCCACTTCCCCTTTCCCATAGTGTTCTTTTCTCCCCTCCCCTGTCCCATAGTGTTCTTTCCTCCCAAACTTCCCTGTTCCATAGTATTCTTTTTCTCCCCCCCTCCCCTGTCCCATAGTGTTCTCCCCCCCCCCTCCCCTGTGGGTGTCACTCCCCCCCTTCCCATGATGCACCCTGGTGCTGTCTGCACCCCTCTTTTGTTTCGCCACTGGTCATAGCTGCTGGTGGCAGCTGAACCTGTCCCTCACGGGTGCTGCCATCTTGCTCCGGCGGGGTCCTCTTCGATGCAGACATCATGGATGTACTCTCGCGCATTGAGGTCTATGGGGGATCCTCCATAGACACAGCCAATCCCTGCAGCCGTCACTGATGACGACTGCACGGAATAATACTTAGACTCCATCTTGTTTCAAAGAAAGTCTGGCGGAGGAGAAATGCAGAGACAGTGAAGTCCCTACTTTATCTCAGTATATCTCTTGACTGGGTTGGTATTTTAGTGAAATTCCAACACAGTCAAAATGAGTATTCCGGAGAGGGTGGGGTGACAATGTCCCCTTCAATCTGAAATGTACTTAATTCCTGAAATTCTCACGTTAATGAATAACTCTGTAAAATTGCTGATTTGGAAAAATTCTGTAATTCAACTCCAATCATCACACCACAGCTATTTTAGCATAGAGCTCACCGTTGGGTTTTGATCTCACTATAATTCACAGTTTAGTGAATAATCCCCTCAGTGAATAAACCCTAGTGACTAAGGCTGAGCAGGGGTCGGATACTTTAATTCAATCTGATCTATAAGGACACGAGCTTCCACCTGTACAGAAGGGACTGGGATACAAAGTATCTCACTCTAGCCCCGCCCATTCCCCGCCCCTGTCCTTGTCCCAGAGACTCTGTCCCTTTAACAGCTGCTCCTCCTCCTGAACTTTGACTGAGAGACACCCACAGGAAGAGACAGGCAGGCAGAGAGAGAGAGACCCATCTAGGAGGATACAAAGAGACACCCACAGGAAAAGGCAGACGGGGGATAAAAAGAGAGAGTAAGAAACAGTAAAACATACATTTCCTCAGACAGTGAGACACCCACAGGTAAAGACAGACAGCTGATTGAGAGACACACAGAAAGAGACAGGTCATAAATCAGAGAATAGAGATAGAGAGCACCAAGAACAGAGAGAATCCAACAGAAAAAGACTTGATTCAGAATAGATCAATGTTATAAATAATAATAATATGCTCAGTAATGTGAAGACATAGAGATAAATTGCACAGAAAGTGATAAACTTCTCTGTGAAAAAACTACAGAGACATTGTCAGAGCTTGAAAAGAATTCTGCAGGTAATGTGTGGCACCTCCCCTCCCCCACCCTGTGTCTGGAGTGAGTGGCATCACTCTCTCTCTCTTCCCCCCACCCTGTGTCTGGAGTGAGTGGCATCACCCTCTCTCTCTCCCCCTCCCCCCTGTGTCTTAAATGAGTGGCATCACCTCTCTCTCTCTCTCTCTCTCTCTCTCTCCACCCTGTGTCTTAAGTGGTGGCATCCACCCCACACACACACACAGTGTCTGTAGAGAGTGGCATCACCCCACAACCCTAGTGTCTGTAGTGGGTGGCATCACCACCCACACAGTGTCTTTAGTGAGTGGCATCACACCCCTCAACCCAGTGTCTGTAGTGAATGGCATCACCACCCACACAGTGTCTTTAGTGAGTGGTATCACCCCCCCCAACCCAGTGTCTGTAGTGAGTGGCATCACAACCCCCCAACCCAGTGTCTGTAGTGAGCATGGCATCACCACCCAGTGTCTGTAGTGAGTGGCATCCAACCCCCCAACCCAGTGTCTGCATAGTGAGTGGCATCACACCTTGTCTGGAGTGAGTGGCATCACCACCACCAACCCACTGTCTGCAGTGAGTGGCATCACAGTGTCTGTAGTGCGTGGCATCATACAGTGTCTGGAGTGAGTGGCATCACCACCACCAACCCACGGTCTGCAGTGAGTGGCATCACAGTGTCTGTAGTGCGTGGCATCATACAGTGTCTGGAGTGAGTGGCATCACCCCCACCTCTCAACCCAGTGCCTGGAGTAGTGATGGCACCTCCACTCCCTTCCAAACCTGTATCAATAGCACGCATCTCAGACTCTGCGTGCCCCGGCACCTCATGTTGGAAAACTACCACAGCTATGGTTATCATGTTTCATTCAAAAATCTCGACATTGCAAGCCAGTTTGAGCAGTGTCCCCATCAACCCACTGTTCCTATAACATATTGTAATTGTCTCATTTATTGTTTGTTTGTTTTTCCTCCTTCTATAAAATTGTAAAGCGCTGCAAAATAGGTTGGCGCTAAATAAATGATGATAAATATAATAATTCATTCAGGGAGTTGTAGGCCACAACTGGTCTGTAGTGTGACATCTCTTCCTCTGCAGTGTCTATGGTGTGTGACCTCTATCCTGCACAGTGCTGTAAATCGCATGTGACTTCTCCCCTACTCGATGCTGTCTTTGGTGTGTGACATTGGTGTGTGTGACTTCTCCCCAGCACAGTGTCTGTGGTGTGTGACATTTCATTCCTACTCTCCAGTGTCATTGATGTGTGTACCCTCCCCTCAACAGTGACTGTAAAGTGTAGAACCCCTTCCCCATCAACCATAACATTTTCATTCTGCATTTATTGTATTCGGAAATCCAGAGAATGAAACCTCCGCATACATGATGAACTGCTTATAGACCGAACGTTTAGTAAACATACATTCATCTAGATAACAGCAAAGCGCTTATAATAATAATTTTGAAACAAACAAAAAAAATCAACTTTGACCCAAATTACCTGCAGCGTCCTCCAAAATTGTTTAATATGACAGATCCCAAACAATTTTGAAAAACAAAGGGAAAAAAAACAAAAATCAAACTCTAATCCGCTTCCCCACCTCCCCCCCCTGTAGATTGATGTTAAAATACAGGCACATGTTACCATAAAATAGACTATAACCGCAGTATTATGGTGGTGAGACTGCTCAGTGCATAGAGCTGTAGTTGCAATATCTCAGAGTCACAAGTTCCCAATAAACATTTTATTTTTCTCAAATGAGATAAAATGAGTGACATTAATAATATCTAACTTCCAAGATGAGAAGCTGTCTGTGATGACACTGAACATGAATTTTCAATGGTTTTCAAATAGCTCTGTCTGTCTGTGTGTTTTATGAATACATATCATCATTGTCAGACAAAAGGGACAGCATCTATGTAGTAAAACCACAACATGGATGTAGTGGTGTTGGTGGTTAGAGTCTCACCGTAAATAATTAATGAAAGTACGTTGGCAAAAATCTGATGTGTTTAAATATAATATAAAATATATATATATATACCTGTGTGTATGTATGTATATGTACGTGTGTGTGTGTGTATATATAATATATATATATATTGTATTCTTCCTTTGGGTTGTTAGGAGACAACAATGTAACTATTTAAGAACTATTGACTTAATTTTGTCATAGTGGACATGTGTTGCTTAAACCAGAAGTGTATATATAAATTAAAGGGACACTATAGTCACCTGAACAACTTTAGCTTAATGAAGCAGTTTTGGTGTATAGAACATGCCCCTGCAGCCTCACTGCTCAATCCTCTGCCATTTAGGAGTTAAATCCCTTTGTTTATCAACCCTAGTCACACCTCCCTGCATGTGACTTGCACAGCCTTCCATAAACACTTCCTGTAAAGAGAGCCCTATTTAGGCTTTCTTTATTGCAAGTTCTGTTAAATTAAGATTTTCTTATCCCCTGCTATGTTAATAGCTTGCTAGACCCTGCAAGAGCCTCCTGTATGTGATTAAAGTTCAATTTAGAGATTGAGATACAATTATTTAAGGTAAATTACATCTGTTTGAAAGTGAAACCAGTTTTTTTTTTCATGCAGGCTCTGTCAATCATAGCCAGGGGAGGTGTGGCTAGGGCTGCATAAACAGAAACAAAGTGATTTAACTCCTAAATGACAGTGAATTGAGAAGTGAAATTGCAGGGGAATGATCTATACACTAAAACTGCTTTATTTAGCTAAAGTAATTTAGGTGACTATAGTGTTCCTTTAAGTACTTAAATTAGTACAGACATTCTTCTAGCAAGAACAAAGAAATGAAGAATGTTCTGTAATATATAAATAACAGCCTAAGCTTTGTGCTGGTGGATGGTGGAAGAAGTCCTCTGTCTTTGTCTCCCTGCAGAGAGAGTACACTCACCATTAAACCCTATCTCCTACTAGAGGTTCCTTCCCAGTGTGTGTACATTGAATGCTATTGGTATAAATGGCACAAAACCAATATCTAGGGTTATCCACTATTGTGTACATATTATAAATGTTTAATTGTCTATGCTTTTCAGGTAGCAACCATGGCAATGCGTGGACTGGTTGACACGGAATGCGGAGGTGCCAATCCACTCATGAAACTGACTGGCCACTTCACTCAAGACAAAGGCCTGCGGGATGAAGGTTTGCAGCACGTGGCCTGGCCACAAGGAGCGACTGCTGTAAGTGACTCTGATATATAGCTGCATTAGTTTATAGTGTCTGCGTCTCATTATTGCTATGAGTTTGTGTCGACCAGCAATGGACTGACTGGCAAAATCCCCATATTAACTTGTGGTCTTTTATTTATCCACTTAGATCTCAAAGCCTCTTGGTGAAGCCACGGAAGATGAGGTATGGAACTGTCACTAGCTTTATTTAATTTTTTTTTTTATTGATATATTTTTTTTTTTTATATACGTTTTTTTTCATATAGGTAACAAAAAAAAAAAATAGTTTTCTATCCGATCTCTTGTTACATTAAATACTATTCAATGTTCAGTTTTGTCTAAAATTACATTGTGTACAAGTTACATACGACACTTATTGCATGTTCAGTGTACCATATTATTGTTCACTACGTGTGTGTGTGTGTGTGTATATATGTATGTATGTGTGTATATATGTATGTGTATGTATGTATGTGTATATATATATATATATATATATATATATATATAAACTCCAATATCTTACGGCACTCACCCTTAAATTTTTTGTGCCTTGGTGCTACCAGCGTATAGCGTATAAAATATTTAAGTAAAAGATGGAGAGGTGCACTCACTTTTCTTCTTTCAAACATGAAGTTTATTCAATTATTTCAAAGTTGTCCCTAATATATATATATATATTACACAGCACTGTACAATGTGTAAATGCTAAATACATATGAAATATGATTTATTTTTTTGGTGAATGGGAACTTGATGTGACACGTGCCTTGTGGTTCTTAACATTTTATGAGGTGTAACACATTAATAATGCCTTGTGCTTTTTATTGCCCACATTGAGAAACTGATATTTTGGTAAAGTCTGGGAAAGCATATATGACTTAGCTGTCTGTATAAGGTTTGGAAATATTCATAATGACCTCCTTTAGATAATAAAAATCCAGTTTTCTCTTGGATAGGATCTACTCATCCTGTGTCCTCGCAGTCTCTCATGTCCTTCTGTCTCTTAGCTTGTGTCAGAGTTCCTACAGTCTCGTGCTCCCTTGCTGCACTCGCGTGCTCCTCACACCTTTAAGATGGATGGTCTTTTAGCAGAAATGCAACAGATCGAGCAGAGCAGCTACCGACCTGAGCCCCTGAGAGGTAAGTGAACCCTAATGGTCTAGGTTTCGGAGTGGGGAGGAGAACACTCATTTGTGTGCTAGGAGTAATACAATGTTGAAGACCAAGCAATGTGGAGTTGTCAGTTTGATGGACTTCCAAGAGGAAGTTTATCATTTTTATTTTAACAGCAACATATATTAACATGGCACTGTCAATTATGGGGTCTTTTGCAAAAATTGCAAAGTCTGCACAAAATGACTTGTTTGCTTAGGTGGAGGTGGTTGAGGAAGGTGAACAGTTAGAAAAATAAACTTACCTTAAGTTCTCCCTCTTTGCTTGCTGTCAGTTTCTTGCCTTCATACTCCTTTGGCTGCTGGCAACTCCATCCGTTAGGTGCTATTATCACTATTGTACGTTTGTGCGGATGTAGATGTAAAACACTGGGTCTCTGGAGGATCCAGCAAGACTATGAGACCTTCCATAAATAGTCATGCACAGTAAGGTGTCACAAGCATTTATTGCACATTGCACAAGTTGAAGCCTGGTCCCATCAGTTGGAATGACCGATAGAAATATTTTTGGCCGTGACGGAGACTAAAAGTTTTGTGGATGAGTGAGGTAATGCCATGCTAAAGGCCAAGGTGTGAAAGATGGAGCCTTTGAATTTGTCGTTTTTCTAGCTCCAGGTGTTGCTGATCTGGCACTTTCTGAGCATTGGACGGATGAGTTCCTTGGGCCACAGGCTGATCCCACGGAGGAAGAAGATTGGAGTAGAGAATTCACGGAGCAGGCAGGTGAGATTGATTGGTTCTCAAACATCACCTAATGGCAATACAACATTTTAAATATTTGTACTCTCCCTTTACCATGTAACACTCTTTGCTCGTCCCTCTCATTGCACAGACCCACAGTCTTCCCCATCCCGCTGGGCTGAGGAATATTTACAACAGTCAGAAGAAAAGCTTTGGTTGGGAGAGAATGAGGGAACAATGGCAGAGAAATGGTGAGGCTCTTACTGTGTAAGGTGCATGTCTGCCATGTTTAATCCTGTTCCCTTTAATTTACCCTTCATTCTTCTCTCCTCCTCTCTAGGTCAGAGGAATATCAACCAGATCATGAATTACAGAGAGAAGCTAAATCTCTTCTTTCCCAAGTGACTGACCCCAAACTGGCCAACAGTCAGGTACACTGGGAGTCATGGGTGTATGATGGAGTCTGTATTACTCATATACATGTTCTATCTTACACATGCGTTATCTGTATCTTGGAAGTTGGTATTTTGTGGGGTTTTTTTTTTGGTTTTTTTTAAACACATTTTTTTAATGCTATCATTATTGTTGACACTCGATTTTCTATTAGATATGTTCTCTGCTGTAAACATGTTCTCTCCAAAGCATTGATTGCCTTCCCTGCCTTTTCCTTGTCTCTCAGTTTCTGCAGTTTGTGAGGAAGATAGGGGACGGAGAACTGTCTCTCGACCAAGCTCAAGGCTCTCTTTCTCAGACGGACTCTCAGGCAGAGCAGTGGTCAGAGCAGTTTGTACAAGAGCAGGTAGTGGCATAGGGGAAGGGGAAAAAAGTATTTAAAATAGACCGTCCTCCATCTTTCTCCATCACTCCTTATCCTTTCATTTCTTATTGCATTGTTCACATTTTCCCTCTTTCACATTAAGTAGTCCTTTTCTTTTCTTTATCTTCTCAAAGTCTATTTCTTTAATGTGATGTCTCTTCTCACCAAACCATCTCTCTCGCAGGCTGTTTCTGAGCAGTGGGTTGATCAGTTTGCTCCCCTGGAGAAGGAATTTGAGACAGCCAAGTCTGCAGTAGAGGTATGAGAGTGTTCAAGGTGTGAGAGTTACTGTAATGCATTCTGTGCCTTCAGAGAGAAAATTCTTGATTCCATTCCATTTTGGTGGGTTTGTAGTGTTGGGGTTTGGATACAATTACACATGGTGAGTGCAGCCTCAGTAGTGAGTGATGTAGAGGATGCGCTGATGTGTGGGTGAGCAAATTATTAAAGGGACACTATAGTCACCAAAACAACTTTAGCCTGCTGAAGCAGTTTTGGTGTATCGATCATACCCCATGCAATCTCACTGCTCAATTCAATGCCATTTACGAGTTAATTACCTTTGTTTATGAGCCCTAGTCACACCTCCCTGGATGTGTCTTGCACAGACTTCATAAACACTTCCTGTAAAGGGTCATCTAATGTTTACCCTTCCTTTATTGCACAGTCTGATTAATTTAGAATTTCTTATCTCCTGCTCTGTTAATAACGTGCTAGGCCCTGTAAGGTGCCTTTGGGGGTGTGTGTGATTAAAGTTCTATTTACAGAGCAGGCGATAAAAACTTCTAAACTAAGTTAACATATGATTGAAAATGAAGCCAGTTTTTCATGCAGGCTGTGTCAGTCCGAGCTAGGAGAGGTGTGGCTAGGGCTGCATTAACAGAAACAAAAGTGATTTAACTCCTAAATGGAACAGTGAGACTTCAGAGGCACAATCTATACACCAAAACTGCTTCATTAAGCTAAAGTTGTTTTGGTGACTAGTAACCCTTTAGGGTGGAGCAGTCCAAGAGAAGGATGAGTGATCGAGTGTTCTAATCGAGGTACTGGATTCTTTTTTTTAAATTTTTTTTTAATTCTTATTATTGAGCATTGCATGCCACAACAGCGGTAATGAAAAACATGGAATAACAAATATTACCAGTGTTGTATAGCGTTCTCATTAACAGGATTTTTTTAGTATTAAAAGAAAACAGGCTTGGCGAACATGTCTGGAATGATAATGACTGGGATGATAATGAGTGAGATCATAAGCAGAATTAGGTAGACATGTATTCAGAGTACAATAGCTTATTAGTAGACCCTATAAAGCATGGTATAGGCTGGGTATTGTAAAGAGTATAACTAAATAGAGAACAGTATAACATGTCGTATAGCTGAATCAAAGAGTAAGAGCACTGGGCCTAAGAGTATGCTGCTGCCTAACTTGATTAAAATATAAGCAAGCTAATGTGGCTAGAATTGTGAGACCAAAAAGGCATGAGATACTGGATAGCGTCCACCCTCCATTGAGGAGAGTGAAGTTCTGGCAGTAGGCTTGCTGAGGTATTGGATCTAAGTTGGTGCTGCTAACTTTGTTTTGGGTCTGCTAACAGGCAGATGTGGATTTTTGGGACAAGCTACAAGAAGAGTGGGAGGAAATGACGAAGAGAGATGCAGAAGCTCATCCTTGGCTCTCGGACTTTCAGGATTTGTCTTCCAAATCCTATGACAAGGTGATTTCCCCCCCACACCTCCCCCTCTCTTCAGTGTGTTACTGTTGTAATAATCAAATAACCACCAGGTTCAGCGAAAAGTTTTATTGATTGTGCAAAGCAACTGTGATCACAGTGAGACCTTAGCAAAATGTAGCATGGTAATAACAAAGATATTTATTCGTTATCAAATGGGGAAACGGAACATGAGCCATCTCCTAGCATGGTTGTTGTTCTTACAGTTTAAGTTTACGTTACCGTTAAGATATATATACTCTCTCCTGGACATATGCCTTTGCTACAAGTGAACAAGTAAGTTTAGAGATTTAACCCCTTCAGGTCTATTCCTGACGTTTAGACTAAGTAATGCCTAGGTTAACATGGTCTGCTCGTTCTTCAGTACCCTATCCCCTCCTGAGGCTACTACTATAGACTCAATGTACATTAAAAACCACCAAATCTACACCTGTCCCTGGATCTGCTAACACTCCCTCTCTCTCTAGCTAACCCTGCGATAAGGAAAAACTGTTGCTACACAATAGTTCAGCATAGTTCATAAAAAGGAAAAATACGTCTTTTAAAAAAAAAAAAAAAGTAGAAAAGAAAATAGTTTGTACTGCATTGATTATAAAATGGCTGATAGTAGCAAGATGGCTGTTTCCACATGTTATTACTGTTTTGTCTTTGTATTCTCTTCGTTCAGTGCATGTCCCTTTTTATTTTAAGATAGACTGTTACTATAAACACACACATTGTTTGTTCTGCCAACATCCCTCTCTATTTCCGTAGGGCTATGTTTTTGAGTCTGATAATCCTTTTTCCGACGAGCAACGCCCATTTGAAGAGGGTTTGAAACGCCTGCAAGAGGGAGACCTGCCCAGTGCTGTGAGACTGTTTGAAACTGCTGTGCAGAGAGATCCGCAGCATATGGAGGTAGATAATACACCATGCAAAAAGTGTGTCTTCTTTTCACGTGGTTATCTTCCAATAAGACTTTATTAGTGAAATATATGTACGGGTCATATGTCATATCTATCCTAAAGGTATATGCATAAACTCAAAGTCACACAATTTTGGAAACCCATCCAGATCCTGTGTACACAATGAGACGATCTAAGTTTACGTTGATGTTGGGTGTATAGTAGTAATTACAGTATTTCAGTCAATTTGCCGAGGTACAATAGAACAAAATCTACCGCTACCTGCAAGTAGCCCCATAGAAAATGCAATCACAGTGATACAAAACGAGTGATTGTGGCAGAAAGGAATGGATGTATTTTGTGTTCTTACAGGTCCTGCTCCACCATAAACGATGGAGCCATGTGAGATTTGTGCCTTAAGCACTTTGGGAAGCTCACGTGAAAGCAGTGAGATTCCTTTCTGTTCTAATGCGGAGTTTGTGGAATGGGTTGGAGTTGCTTGGTAATAGGTTCCACTCTTTTACCGTTCTATCCCTGCTTTCAAAAGGCTTGGCAGTATCTCGGCACCACTCAGGCAGAGAATGAACAGGAACTGGCAGCAATCAGTGCTCTGCGAAGGTAAGGAACTTTACACCATAACACCACTCAGCTTCTCATGACCAGCCTACCTGTCTTTTTTTTTTTAACATTCTTTTCTATTTCTCAGATCTAGTTATCACACTCTCTAAATTCACTTCTGCTAATATGTCTGACTGTCTCTGTTTGCCTCTCTGTTTTCTTATTTGCTTGTCTGTCTACGTACAGCTGTCTCTTTTTGCCGATCTCTCAGCTCAACCAGTTACTACCTATTTGTTTGCCTGTCTGAGTCTGTACATTCCTCTGCTTCAATGTCTGTCTCATTCTGCCTCTCTCTGATTCTAATTCTTTCTGTTGCCTGACCCTTTTTTTTATCGGTTAACACAGTTGTCACATTCTGACAGTCTCTCTGAATGCCTGTCTGTTTAGGTGTCTCGAGCTGAAGCCAGATAATCTGAGCGCCCTAATGGCTCTTGCAGTAAGTTTCACCAATGAGTGTCTCCAGCAGCAAGCATGTCAGACACTGCGGGACTGGATGCAGCACAACCCAAAATACAGCCATCTGGTGCCGGAGGAGAGTGCCAGCAAAGACACACAAAGGTCACGGACATTTGGAACCTTGCTTTCTGAGTGAGTGTATGGGTAAAGAAGAAAACTAGAACCCTTTACACTTTCGTGGGACAAATAATGCTAATAAATTATAGTATCATCCCACTGGGTATCCTCGGAATATGGAGTCTAGGAGCAAACAGAGATAAGGGGGAAAGACTGAGTAGGACGCTGAGAGTGTTTGAAACATTGAGAATAGAGGGGATTTGAGGAGAATTTGGACTGGGTGGATAGGGAGACTTGTTGATAGATATGTGTGTGATTGGAAACTAATGGAGGGAGGTTTGAGAATTTGTAGGGGTTTTGGGGGACTGGAGCTTATAAAGAAACTGGAGTGGGAGAGTTTGAGAGCATGGTGATCTAGAGGGACAAAGACGAGTATATAGTCTGTGGGGACTTCACAGGACACATGAAGTGTTTTAGACTGTGGGTTTATGGAGAAAAAGATAAAATGTAAGCATGACATGGCAGATTGGGGCAACGATTGTCCATGTCTACTCATCAGTAAATCAACTTATTTTGTTTCCAGTTCTTTGTTTTCAGAGGTGAGGGAGCTGTTCCTGTCTGCCGTGCGTTCTGACCCGACCCAAGTGGATCCTGATGTGCAGTGTGGACTTGGCGTGCTGTTCAATCTTAGTGGGGAATATCAAAAGGCCGTGGACTGTTTCACTGCTGCTCTAAGCCAGAAACCAGATGTGAGTGGTGTGTGGGTCAATAAACCAAATACTTGAGGAGTAAAGATACGTTTTAGTTAGAAATTGAGTCAGGTGTAAATAATCGATTTTAGTGAAGTCTGTGATTTGGGTAGGTCAAGCTGTTTTGTTAGTTGACGTGAGGTGGGATTAGGGTTAAAATATTTTATTAGATGGATATGGGATGGTTGCAGTAAAGAGGCTGAGGTAGTTTAATTAGGAATATAGAAGTCTTGGAGGTAAGACAAAGGAATGACAAAGATGAAGTTAGATTGGAGCTGGGTGCAAGCTGAGTTGAGCACACTAAAAAAAAAAAAATTAAGAGGGTGAAGGTTTAGAGCATGGGTGACCGGCCCGCGGGCGACGCAAGAGTCTGGAGTCCGGATCAGCAGGGACCAGCAAGCAGGTGAGGAGCAGGGTAAGAGCTTGCTAATATTGTTGGGTTTTTTTTTGTTTTTTTTTTGTGAATGGGTTTGTAAGGGGACAGGGGTCTTTGTAGCAGGGGGTGGGTCTTTGTAGAGGGGGGCAGGAGTTTTTGGATTGGGGTTGCAGAGGGTTTGTATGGGGTGGACGCTCCCAGAGCAAGTTAGGCAGACCTCTTTTGTATTAAGTGTGTGTGTGTGATTTTTTTTGTGTGTGTATGTTTTGACATGTTTGTGATTATGTGTGTGTATATCTGTGATTGTGTGTGTGATTTTATGTGTGTGGATCTGTGATTGTGGGTGTATAAGTCTGTGATTGTGTGGGGGTCTGTGATTGTTGGTGTATGTATGTTGTGTGTGGAGTGTGATTGTGTGTGTGTATGTTTGTCACTGTGTGTATAGGTATGTGATTTTATGTGTGTGTGGGTCTGTGATTTTGTGTGTGTGTGTATTTGTGATTGTGCGTATAGGTCTGTGATTGTGTGCATACGTATACACATGTGTGTTTAGTAGATAGCTCCCTAATTTGATTTACTTAAATATGCCAATCCCACACAAGGATAACAAAAAAGCCAGTTATCTACTAAATAATTGAAATATTAAAATTAAGAAAAAGAGCTTTTAAAGATATATTACTTATATACATTAACTATATTATATATTTGATGTGTGGCCCAAGGCAATTCCTCTGCGTTCAGTGCGGCCCAGGGAAGTCAAAAGGTTGGACACCCGTGGTTTAGAGCATTCTGATGTGAAAGGGTTAAAGCTGTGTGCTGGGAATGGAACAAGTAGTAAATTGTTCAGATTGGAGGAGGTTGGAGGATTAAAGCTGGCTGATGGTAGTTAGATTTGCATTTGGTTTGTACAGAAGAGAGTTGGACACACGGTCACTGAAGATCATATGTTTCTCTTATCACTCTGGCTGTCTTCACTCACATTTTCCATGATTTCCTTGTATCTACAGTAAACCTCCTGCCTTTCTAACCTCAAATTCTATTATTCCATGCCAGACTTGTACCATGTTAATTGTATTTTCCCCTCTGCCAGGACTATTTATTGTGGAATAAGCTGGGTGCCACGCTTGCGAATGGTAATGATAGTGAGGCTGCAGTGGAAGCTTATCGACGGGCTTTGCAACTGCAGCCTGGGTTCATCCGCTCTAGATACAACCTGGGTATTGCCTGTATTAACCTGGGGGCACACAGGTGAGTGGAGAGGCAAGTAAAGGCCAAGGCGGCTAATGGAAGGAATAGGTAAAATACTTGCATTCTTTCTTTTACTGTGACGCTCTCTCATCTGTATAGGGAGGCGGTGGAACATTTTCTCGAGGCTCTCAGCATGCAGCAGCAAAGTGGTGGATCGGGAAATGCTATGTCTGACAATATTTGGAGTACCCTAAGGATGGCGCTCTCCATGCTTGGACAGAGTGACCTATATTCTGCAGCTGACTCTCGTGATCTTGCTACCCTACAAACAGCATTTCCACCCCACTCATCCAGCACTCAATGACCATACCTTGACCCACTGCCGTGTGAGTGCATGCTGAGAGGTCACTCACAGTGTACTGCATCTGGGAAAGTAGAATGCTTATAATGCACTGGATCATCTCAGTGTTACAGCCCGTGCGGAGCAGAGTAGCACCTCTACAGAGACTCTTGTGGGCTGGTGATTCTCCCCCAAGTCACCTGTGACCTCACTCCATTGACTGGTACGGAACTTTAAAAAAAAAAAAAACAGCTTGGTTCTGACTTTAATTAACGGTTTAATTTAATTTAATTCCCATCATTATGCAATGAGTGAGATACTAATCTGTCATCTATGATGAAAATATGAAGATCTCCCTTGCATCTCCACCAACTGTTTGCCTCTCTACATGAATCTAAGGACGTACAGGTGTGTATGATCTGTTGAGGCAGTTTAATACATTAGGAAGTTTAATCCTGCCTCTCCCTTTCAGTTACCATGCAAAGTAACATAAAAACAGGTGTATGCATATACTTGGGGTTTGACCCCCTCACCTATCATCATGTACCCCATGGCATGTGAGAGCAACACATTAAGTATGATGCTCAGTCTTTGTTTACTACATGCTGCGGACTCTTAGCAACTTCATGTAAGCCCTGGTACTATTTAAAAGAGCAGAAACTCTGACCCGTCCAGTATCTTTGACATCCAGATTGAAAACCATGTGAGTAGCTTTGACCTCCAGCTCCACAATCCAGGCAGTGGTACCATCTTTCATACACACTACAAGATCAGAAAATGAGTCATTCAGTGTTTGCACTATTTATGAAAATAAAGGGTAGTTTTGCTGCAGTTATCTGCTCTTTGGGTTGCAGGAAGATGCAGCCAGCCTGTGTCGCAAAAAAAAGTATTCTGGAACCGATCTATGTATGTGTTAAGCAGTCCTGCGCGAAGAATATGTTCTTTTTTAATATTCTGAATATTAATAGGTTACTATAAACAATTTGTTTTGGGCAGCACGAATCCTTGAAGATCTGATCAGTCTTACCCATTTTGTAATAAAGAAAGGAGGATTACTTTCTCCCGACAAAAAGAAAATACTTCAGTGTGATGATAAATATTGTATAACAGAAACAACCATATAAAACCAACGTATGTGCAATAATATAGATGCTCCCACCACAGCCATCAGCTCTTACAACTTTGATTGTTCAATTCAATTGATGGATACAGGATATAAAATATTTAATATCTGCCTGAAGACAAAATCTGAATTGTAAACATGCGGTGGGAAATATGTGCCCTGTGCTGAGAAGGGTATATTTGACTATGTGAATAATTTCATGTCTGTAAGGTGATAAATTGTACAATATTTGTATTAATAAAATGTATATGATCTAGAGTTACATCAAAATGGAAGGTCTTATGTGCTGAAAACTGTATCCCTGATGTTTGATGTATCAAATAATAGAACATGTTAATAGGGATAGGCTGGTTCTGTGTGTACGCTTAAAGGGACACTATATAACTCATTGAAGTGGTCTGGGTGCAGTGTCCCAGGCAGGGCCGGACTGGGGATACAAAGCAGCCCTGGGAAAAAAAAATCTATGCCAGCCCCATAAGTCATTGCACCATATATTGTCGCATGTAATATGACTGAGTAATATATATCAAATATATATTGCTTTTTCTAATATAAAATATTGGTCCTTTCAGAGTAAAACTCTTAATACAGTAAGCTTACTCACATGCAGACAAAGACAATCTCACTAACACACACCAACTCATTGATACACAGCCTCATAGACAAACAATCTTACTGCTATACATAAGCTCATTGACATAAAAACACAAGCTCACTCACTAGCAGTTGCACACACACAAATGCAAGCAAGCTCAGTCACTAGCAGGCGCAAACATACACAGCTTAATGTAGTTGTTCTGGTGACTATAGCTGTCACTACAGGCTTTTCAATGTAAACACTGACTTCTCAGAGAAAAGGCAGTGTTTACATTGCTTCCTAGTGACACCTCTACTGACAGATACTCAAGACAGTCACTAGAGGTGCTTCCTGTGTCAGTGCTGCACAGTGTGACACCTCTACTGACAGACACTCCAGACTAGACGTGCTTCCTGTGTGCAGCACTTACATTTAGGGCCTCCACGCAGGGATGTATTTACCACAAGGCATTTGCCTAGGGCGGCACTTTCAGGGGGGGTAGGGCGCCAAAAAACACCACCCCAAGCTCCCAGTCAAATGCCTTGTTTGCGTCATGTTCTGGGATTGTCCACCTTACTGTGAGTGAGTGTAGCTGTTGGTGTGTGTCTGTGAGTGAGTGAAAGTGTGTGTCTTTCAGTGAGAATGGATGTGCCTGTGAGTGTGTGCATGCCATTTTATGTGTATCTGAGAGTGTGTGCCTGGCAGTGTGTGCATGCCATTTTATGTGTATCTGAGAGTGTGCGTCTGTCATTGAAAATGTGTGTTGGTTAAACAGTGTGTGCCAATGACTGTGTATCTCTCAGGGAGTGTATATCAGTGCAGGTATCAATGAGGGGCATGTGTCTGTCAATCAAAAAAGTGACCTTGACACGAATTGGAGGGGCAAATTTAGATTTTGGGGGTGCTCAAATTTAGTTGTGCCTAGGGCAGCACAAATCCAAAATACACCACTGTCTCCACGCTCTGGAGGCGCTGAACGTTCCCCATAGAGATACATTGATTCAATGCATCTATATGAGGAGATGCTGATTGGTGTAACGTTTTGCAGCCAATTATATGGCAAAGCATTGGATTGGCAGAGATCAAGCATGATGATCTCAGCCATAGAGGCAGGGCCAGTCGAGGGGAGAAAAAAAGGTGAGTAAAACAAACACAGATACAAACACCATGACAGACGGACCATGACACAGACACACACACACTCACACTGACACACATAACTTCTACCTGTGGGCAACCAGCCAGGGGGTCGTGCAGGGCAGACAGCTGTCTGTGCTGGCGGCCGCAGTGGGAGCTGTGACGGTGGCCACAGGGGGAGCTGTGCTGTCTCTGCTCTCCAGCGCGCGCAGCTTAATGAGACCGGGGCCGGAATATCACATCACATTCCGGCCCCGGTCTCATTAAGCAGTGCGCAGGGGAGCAGAGACAGCACAGCTCCCCCTGCGGCCGACAGCACAGACAGCTGTCTGCCCGGCCCCAGGTGCCGACGGCCCACCGGAAAATTTTGCGGTGGGCCAGTCCTGCCCTGGTCCCAGGTCCCTTAATCCTGCAATGGTAATTACTGCAGTTTATATTTTGTTTGCAGTGTTAACTCCACCTCGAGTGGCGGACTACTAGACAGCAACTAGAAGGACTTCCGGGTTGTTAGGTCAATTTTGGTTACCTGGCGCTGGATGTCCTCACGCTATGCATGAGGTCATCCAGCATAACAAAAACCCCCACAGGGGGTGCAATTTTGTTTTCATTGCTCTATAGTTTCCATTTAAATCTCTTGATGCAATTTTTCTCTCTATTGAGTTATTTGCTAAAACGTGACTTGTTCGATAGTCACAGAAAACTGCAAATTTTAGCTAAAATAGATGTGCTGGAAACATCAGTGGCTGGGAGTTTGTTTTTGGTTTGTCTTTTCGAACTTTTCAAACGGCAAATCTTCATTTCTTTCATCGAATAACCTCAAATAGTACTCTTATCCTGTCAACATCATGAGTCTCTGTAGGATTTAATCACCTATAGTGTAGTAATTGGAAACTGAATTACGATCTGTTGTTAAAAAGAAAAATAATTTCAATCAACATATAGAATGATCTAAAGAAAATACTCTACCATCAAACATGGGTGGGAAGTTTATTTTATTCAATTCTATGTCTTGAACAGTTATTTATTTTAATCATTCACTTCCATTTGGAGTGATAAGTATTTCTTAGTTTGCAGTTGGAGGCGGGAGAAACCTTGATTTATTTATTTTCTGTTCATTGTTTGGTATTTCAATGCCTAACTTTTTAAATCAACTTTCCTTTATTAAAAAAAAAAAAAAGGTTGTAGTAATAACCCAAGTTTTACATTTCAATTTGTAATGCAAGTGGTTTTCAGAACTCATTATACACTCCTTTTCTTTCTGATACGTTCCTGTGTGTTCATGTTGTTGTGGCTGTGGATTTCTTTCGCAGGCCGTGTTCCCTCCTGCCTCCATGGAAGGCTGTTCACACAAAGCACTTGGTTCATTGCAAACGATTTGGCATCTAAAGTCTTTCAGGGTTATTTAATAAATGTGAGAATTCAAAGTGAATCTCAAATTTAAGGCCAGAGTAACCAAACAAAGCATAGCCGATTTAGAGAATTTTTCTAGTTTGGCTATTTTGCCCATAAATTTAAAATTCACTTTGAATTCTAACATTAGCAAAAATCCATGGAAGAGACACAGAATACCCTTAAAATTGCATCCCCAAACACGACACCTATTTAAACTTTAGACAATACTGGAACATGCAGCTAGCAGAAAACACCTGATGCAGCAATGCTGGTTCTTAACTAACCTGTATGTAATTTTTAGATAAACTTTTACAATGGTTTGATATTTAGCAAAAATTTTAAAAGTTTATCAAAATGTTTTAAACATTTAGGCCCTTGGCAGTATCTTCACATTAAACAGCCAATAGCTTAGAATGAATAAAAATCCTAAACGTTTTCGGGTTGGCGTGGAACGCAGGCTTGGGGTAAAGTGGAACGCACGCGAAGATCTGTTACATCAATCTCGGCTCGTCACCTCCTCTCAGCCGAGGGAGGTCCCTGTGTCCTGCAGCTCCCTGTCTCTCCAGATATGCCAGTTTTTTTTCATATTATTGTGAGTGTTTTTAATCTCATTTAAAATAAATTCAGTGTTTTTATAGAGAGCATTATGGCTTCTTCATTTATCTTTCAGAGCAAAGTGAAGATCTTGCCACTTTAGATCTGTCACTGTGATCTGAAAGTGATTAATCATCTCTTTGGACTGCATTGCATCTCAGCTTAAGGTTTATTCCTTCCAGAGAACGGATTACACGTTTTATACTCTGTATTACAGATACATTATATCAGCTTGGGAGATTTACAGTTTTTTTTTTTTATAACATAGGTATTTATCCACATAGCTGGTACATAGTTGCTAAGAGACACTCTACAGACTGCTTACACTTTGAACTTTTATGAACTATAGATTTTTTTGGTATCATTTTATATTTTGGACACTATACTCTCTAAATTTCCTCTTTACAGTCCTAGGACATTATCCATTATATTTTCTGTTTCACCCTACTCAATAATTAGTTCATGTGCCCCCTTTTCGCCGGTTAGGGGTAGCACTTTTCATGAGTAAACCAACGGTGGATCTGCTATCAAAACTTATATACCATCAAATACAGCTATAAATATTCTCCTTTTTGCATTTTCACTAGCTATCACCTGGTACATTTAGGATTTTTATTAATTCTTCCTGCTTCAGCTAATATGGGAACTTAACTATACCAGTTGAGATTATTTATGTATTTGCACCACATTTGTGTTATTTTACACTAATTGTAGGGGGAACTACCCCACTAAGTTTAACTCTGTATTTACTACTTTTCCACTCTACAAGGTCAGTTTTTTACTGTCTACATATCATCTTGCACAATTTACATTAACCCCTGTCATTGTCTGCTTCGTAAGCTCCACTGGATGTTGCCATCTAGCTACCTAGTTCCAGAACCTATGATGCCAAGTACGAGTACGGAAACTCTCACACTTGCCATCGCGGCAAAGATTTATCACCGTAATATTCCCAATATGAATTAAAAATAAGGTAAGTGGGTGCTGTTCTTTTGTATTAGCAGCCTCATTCCCCGTCAGGAACAAAATTTCATAGACAGAATATGCAAGTAGTTATGTTTCAAAAAGCTTTATTATGTATTATTATTGGAGTGTAATAAATGTTCCACTGTGTGTTGCATGTGGAAAATGGAAGGATAAATACTAGTTTTTAGTGGAAAAATGAAAATAATTACATTTGTATGTGCAGATAAAGAGGAAAAAATAAAGACTTTTTTTTCATTTAAACAAAGGGATTTCTTCGGTAAACTCTGAATGATATATTTTAGCACAAAATAGCTGGAAATTTACACCCAGTAAATTTTCCAACTTCTCATACAATATAACCCAAGACAATAGCTGTGACAAAGTTGGTGTGTGTGTAGATTATATTAATTCCAGTGAGATCTGCGGACCCTATAATGGTTTAATAATGTGGGGCCACTATGTAGAGACATTTCATCTCTCCATTATAGCCCTTGCTACCAAAAGCATAATTGAACAGTAATTATTGAATGATGCCCCTTTTGTAGCAGAAGATAATTATGGTATTAATGGCAGCTGAGCACAAAGCCAGCCGATCACCAGGGTACATGCACATGCGTGACATCCCACAATGCACAAACACTTGGAGGTGAAGAAAATTATTTAGAGGATCTTTTTATTTATTTAATTGTACATCTGCTAGAACCATGCATAGATTTCAAGAATACCAACCCGAGGGTGAACCGGTCATCCACACATTTTGTTTACATTTTAAACTGATTTAAAGTCACCATGGCGCGCACATTAAAATCGGGCCTGAGATTAAAATAAATCACTAGCCCCAAAAGAACCAGTCTTAACACTTACAGAGGGTGTGTTACAGTTTTCATCCTACACCTGACTGTAACGGAATACTCACGGAATATAATCATAAAGTGCTCCCATGTCAGATGTGACATAAAACGAACAGCACTCCACAATCAGGTGTAGTACAACACACCCCAATCAGGTGTAGTAATACTACAGCACTCCACAGTCAGGTGCAACATTAATACCAGAATTGCATATAACATGGTCATGTGACGCATCAATACCAAAACAAGTTACCCAATAATCTGGGGTATAAACACTGTAAATGTGATGATGTTACCAGCTGGATAAACTTTCATACAGGATTGGAAGAGATGTTGAGATCAGGTGAATACTGGAATAATGTACGGCTGAAAGCAGTGTTATTAATGCAAGAAGGTGTAGTATTGAAATACCGCCTGCAGCCTGATTTACTATCAGTAGTAGAAGAAGGGGTGAAAGGCAGGCAGTCTAGAGTTAGTACTGGAGGAATAACGTGTGATGCAGGCAGGTCTAGTATTAGCCCTAGAGGAATAATGTGTGATGCAGACATGTCTACTGTGAGCCCTAGAGGAGTAATGTGTGATGCAGGCAGGTCTAGTGTTAGCCCTGAAAGAATAACGTGTGATGCAGGCAGGTCTAGTGTTATTCATGAAAGAGTAACGTGTGATGCAGGCAGGTCTAGTGTTATTCATGAAAGAGTAACGTGTGATACAGGCAGATCTAGTGTTAGCCCTGAAAGAGTAACGTGTGATGCAGGCAAGTCTAGTCTTAGCCCTGGAAGAATAATGTGTGATGCAGGTAGGTCTAGTTTTA